TCAGGGGATGCATCCCTCTCAGTACTTACAACACTTGCATTGCCCACATGTCCCAAACCAGGTTGCACAGTTGTGACAAACAGGAGAGATGCACACAACAAAGCCTACTACCTCACGTATATTCAATAACACTGTGTTTATGCCTATCATCAGCACAATTTGCACTAAAATTTGTGTAACTTTAAACGTCTTCTTTTATATAGATAGCTGTACACAGTAGTATAAAAACTCATTGTCCTTTTAACCTGATGCCTTTTTTTAAAAGCATGTGTGTTTTTTGTGTAAGTACTTTGGGAACAAAGACAAAAACAACATCAAACTCCTGAAGGTGTATGTGTACACCTGCTTAGTCAGGTAAGTTGATTCTGATTTCATTTGAAATACAGAATATGACAAGCTAACAAAGGCAGAGGTATTAGTAATATCAGCAGTGTACATGAGTGCATGCATGGAAAAAATGTGTGGTGCAAAAAGCAGAAGACTTTTAGTCTAAAAATAAACGCTACAGCATTACTAATAGATGCAACTTTTTTTTCTCTAACACTGTGGCTGTTTTTACTCCCAGAACATAAATAGGAATTATAAGCTGACTGATTTTTTTGTGGGGAAAGAATTATTTAGTGACTTTAACAATGTCCCATCTTGCAGTTGATTTGATCAATGTTTTAATCCCCTGTTGTATTCATGTTTTCAGTCAGCCAATTGTTTCTGAATGTGCAGAAAGTTTTGAACACAAGTTATTTTAGTCTAGAGGTTCATAAATGATTTCAAATAAATTAATTTATCATTGATGAATAGGTCCCAGATGCACATTTAAACAGGCTATTTCCTCAAAACAAAGGAATACAAAGAGCTTGTGCCCATGTGTGTGTTGATATACTATACTCGTATAAAATGACCACAGCTCATCTACAGGATAATAAACATTTCAAAGCAATACAGAATGCCTGGCAGCCTTACTGTATTATTATTATAAGATAAGATAACACTTTATTAATCCTGAAGGACACTTTTATGCTTGGTATTGTTTAGAAAAATATAGAATGACATATTAGTAAATATGGTTAATCACATTTTACAGCGTAGATGTCCCAGCTGACTGAGTCCATCTCAGGTGGCTGAACTTCCTTTTAGCTGAGCTAGCTAGCGTTAGCCACCAGCCTGGACTATCACAACACTTCCAGTCACTAACGTCGCACCTTTTTTGTCATTATTATTATTACGTCTGTCAAACGCCACAAAAACAAACACAACTTCTTCTCAACAAATACTGTTACCAACACAACAACACTACACTGTACCCACGACTTGTCAAGCGACAACATTACTGACGTAGGTAATGTTTGCAATTTAATTAGGAGTGAAGCAGGAAGAAACAGTTGGTGGGACCGACGTCCGAAACACCACTTTGAGTAATAAGTTGAGCGTCAGTTTATTAAGTCGCTACGAAATGAGCTCAAATACGTTGCCTATGTGTTTTAATTACAATAAATTTCTGACAGCAAATAATTAAGAACGAATAATGTAACTTACTTTCTCCCACTACCGCCTTCAGTCCACTCGGTGCCATCTTGACGGCAGTCTGCTGGAGAGGCGGTCACTTCCTTGGTTCAAGCACGCAGCTTGTGTAGGTGACGTGCTGCCCCCTACTGTCACATAACAGTAATGCAACAACCTCCTGGTAGCCATGCAGTGTACGGCTGTAACAAACAGCAATCATGTGAGAAATATGTAAAACTACATTCACTGTGATTTAATTTAAGTCTTAAACAAAGCCTTTTCAGTGGGATTCACTGTCACTAGTAACTGTTGGCTAGTGTTTGGAGGGTAAATTGAGTGTACTAACATATCATCACTTAGTAATCATTTTCATCACTTTCCAAAAGAGGAGTATTTATCAGTCTATCGCAAAATTACCCCCCCAAAAAAAGAGTTTTGTAATTTGAATCAGACTTTCAAAATGATTGATAGCTATGAAACTGAGACAGCTGCATAAAGGAAGTACATATTTTCTTTTGTGAGTGCCTCATGAGATTGTGAAACATCCAACTGGTCATGTTACACTGCCAAATATATTTGAGGGTATCATCTGAAGAGCCTTGGGAAAAAACATTTTTAGCACTTCAACACTTGGATGACAAGTTCAGCAGTTGGTTGGTTGTTGCAGGGACACGTCCAAGACATAAGAGGTTCTGGACAAGGCAAGCACAGTCCTAGAAGATCTCAGATAGCTGGGCTGCTCTGAAGAGGCTCCTGCCATAAATTTCCGTTCGCTATGTTAATAGTCAAAATGGTTTATGAACTCTTATTCTTAAGGATGTGGGAACAAGTGTTACCTCCTAAAACAAATTGTAACGAGAAAGTGCGCAGTGCATCCTACCAATGAGAAACAGTCCAGTAGCAATTGACATCCTTGCCCAGTGGCTCCCAAACAAGAGGTGTTAAAAGAGAAATGAGTGGTTTTGTTAAAAATAGATCCTGCTAGGTCCAGTCCAAATCAGCAATGCTCTGAACATAAAGTGACATCTTTAAGCTACAAATGTGTCCATATAGGAAGTGCATAACATGAGCTATACCTATATATAAAACACAATCTTATCCAGAGGGTGAGTACTTTTAATTTTAAATGACATGTTGAGTATATACACTGCTCAAAAAAAATAAAGAGAACATCTAAACAATTGACACAATGTGACTCAAAGTCAATCACACGTCTGTGAAATCAACCTGTCCAGTTGGGAAGCAACACTGATTGTGAACCAATTTCACCTGCTGTTGTGCAAATCAAACAGACAACAGGTAGAAATGAGAGGCAATTAGCCAGACAACCCCTGTAAAGGAGTGGTTCTGCAGGTGGTGACAACAGACCATTTCTCTGTTCTCATCCTTTCTGGCTGCTGTTTTGGTAACTTTTGCATTTTGTCAGTGCTCTCATGGAGGAGATACCAGGAGACTAGCCAGTACACCAGGAGATGTGGAGGAGGCTGGAAGAGGGCAACAACCCAGCAGCAGGACCACTACCTCCTCCTTTGTGCAGGAGGACCAGGAGGCGCACTACCAGAGCCCTGCAAAATGACCTCCAGCAGGCCATTAATATGCATGTTTCTGCTCAAACTGTCAGAAACAGACTCCATGAGGGTGGTATGAAGGCCTGATGTCCACAAGTGAGGCTTGTGCTTACAGCCCAACACCATGCAGGGCGATTGGCATTTGCCAGAGAACACCAAGGTTGGCAGATTCTCCATTGGTGCTCTGTGCTCCTCACGGATGAGAGCAGGTTCACACTGAGCACATGTGACAGATGTGACAGAGTCTGGAGACGCCATGGAGAACGTTCTGCTGCCTGCAACATCCTTCAGCATGACCAGTTTGGCGGTGGGTCAGAAATGGTTTGGAGAGGCATTTCTTTTGAGGACCACACAGCCCTCCATGTGCTAGCCAGAGGTACCCTGACTTCCATTAGGTACGGGGATGAGATCCTTAGACCCATTGTGACACTATATGCTGGTGCAGTGGGCCCTGGGTTCCTTCTGATGCATGACAATGCTAGGCCTTATGTGGCTGAAGTGTGTCAGCAGTTCCTGCATGATGAAGGCATTGATGCTACGGACTGGCATGCCCGTTCCCCAGACCTGAATCCAATTGAGCACATCTGGGACATCATGTCTCGTTCCATACACCAATGCCACGTTGCACCATAAACTGTCCGGAGTTGACTGAAACTTTAATCCAGGTCTGGGAGGAGATCCCTCAGGAGAACATCTGCCACCTCATCAGGAGCATACCCAGGCGCTGTGAGGAGGTCATACAGGCACATGGAGGCCACTCACACTACTGAACCTCATTTTGACTTGTCTTGAGGAATTTCCACTGAAGTTGGATCTTTAACTGGGATATTTCATTCATTGAGATCTAGGATGTGTTATTTTAGTATTCCCTTTATTTATTTATTTATTTATTTTGAGCAGTGTACATAATCAGTGCCTTGTCAGTCCTCCCTCACATAGTAATTCACATCAGTATTACATAGCAAAGTATCAAACAACTGAATTATTATTATTAGTGTTAGCTAAGTCCCAGTCAAATAATCACTCTGACTTCAAGCAAAGAAAAACAAATCACACATTTCCACATGCCAAGGACCACCCCTCTTAATGGTAGTCACTTTATCCTAGAGTATGGCCTTCGTTCCTTTTTTTTTTTTACCTCCTGTCTTTTTGACTCGCCATATGTGTTATGTGCCTCATAATGTATTTGTTATTTGATTTAATTAACTTATCTCAGAACTTAGGTTCATATCTTTGGTTCTAATGTTAATACTTCTTGATCTCTCTTTGCTGAACTTAAACCACACAATCCAACAAGCGAGAAATTGAACCGAACCGAACGGACACACAAAATTGTTTTGAATGCCAAAAGGTAATAAACAGCGTGTGGTAAAGAGGTGAGAATTTATATTAAACATATCTGTAACTGTTAGGTGGAAAGACATCATGAAGAAAAAGCAACAGTCAGAAGCTCTATACTGGAACAACTAGTCTTGCTCCCTTGAAGAAATGTTCAGAATATTTGAGCTAGTGGTTGCCAGAATGCATAAGGACATTTTTAAATGGAAAGACGTTATATTTCTGATGAGAAAAATTATTTATTATCCTATTTAAGGTTCTTCTGATGTGTAGAAAAAAACAAACATTACAGGCACTATTCATAAGGAAGCTTGGTGGGGATAGCATCGTGCTTGGAGGATGCTAAGCTACAGCAGGACTGGGAAAGCTGGTGAAGGTAGAGGTTACAGTGAATGCAAAATCACATAAGAAATGTGTGAACTATGACTCAATGTAAATTATGTTTTTCAACAGAAGAACCCAGAACATAAAGCTAAAGCTGCCTAAACATTTTCAACATAGGTTCATAGCAGTATTTGTTGTGAAAGCTTCCTTTACAAGATAATGTTTTAAAGGGGATGAAAATTTCCATACAAAATCAGTTATTTTGTTTTATGTGTTTACTTCATTTTAATGAGTGTATAAAAATTTGTTTCACACCTCAATATCTTTGTGTTGATCCGTGTCAAAAAAATACAATTACATTATCTGTGATTCAATGCTGCAAAACACTCAACATAAAAAACAAATCTAACAAGGTGAACAGACTTATAGGCACTGCACTTCACAAAATAAATAAGTACATTAGATCTTAGTAGATGTACAACTCAAATAATCATTTAATGACAGTGTAATCACAGCAACTTAAATAAAATCACTCTAGGATTTGATCAGTCATGTGTGAAAAAGACACATCAAAATGAAACAACAGGAGGCATATTAGGTATAATTCCTTATTTGGAAAATGTCCAACACACCGTTGGGATACGTGAGCTTTGCAGTGATTTCCAAAGTGACAGTCTCACTCCAGTCCAACCAGTTGTCTTATGTCCAAAAATCCCATTAAGATGATCCTGCATCGGTGACAACAAGGGATCTTGCATTTCTTTAGCATCATCATGCTCAGTTCTCAGGTTCCCCAGAAATACTTTTTAATATTCGCTGCTCCTTACGAACTCGCATTCGTTCTTTAAAGCTTTCCAACTCTTTCCTCTGAAAGTAAATACAGGACAAGCATTACTATCGTCAAATATTGAACTATACCACAGTAGCTCCAAGCAGACTTCTTTAAAAGCTTTTGTGAATAGGTCAAACAAATTGCAGATAGAGATGAATTACTCAAAAAAACAAGTATAACAGAATGTCAGTATGATTTAAAATCAGATTGATCTGAAATATTAAAATTAAAAAAGGAGGAACAGGTGTTTTTTTTGTACTATTCCTTCATTTATTGTTTTTTATAATGAAAATATTGTTTATTTTCTTTTGTTAAAAAAATAAATACTTTTTTTTTTTTTACAAAAATAGCACAAATAAAGCTTTGTACCTAACAGTATGAGGTGCAAACAATACAAGTATAGATAGATAGATAGATAGATAGATAGATAGATAGATAGATAGATAGATAGATAGATAGATAGATACCTGTACTTCCTCGCCAGGGGGGAAGATTTCCCTCTGGATAGCATAAAAATTCCCACCATAGTACAGAGAAAGAGACATTCGTTATTACAAGAACAAGACACTTCAGTGAATGAACTAATAAGCATGTTCGAAAACTAAAAACTATTACTTACCTTTCTCTTTACTATATACTCTTCAAAGTACTCTGCTTGGTTTGAGACCCAAAACATGGCCACAGGAAAAGACAGATACAGCATCATCTGCTCAATACAAAATCAGATAAAACAGACAGTGACTTGTAGTGGAAAATGTCGGGAGTGTTAATGATAATGATTAGCAAAATAGAAAACGAAACCAAGGAAGAGTCGCACCATATTCAACCGTAAGAAAAATCCATATTAAACATCCATGATCAACAAATATGTGATACTTACTCTGAACACCTCTATTTTAACACCCATTTTCACACTGACGACGGACTCGGACGGCGAAATGTTACCTAAAGCCCAGCCATTACCAAAGACCTTCAGACTACTTCCGGGTTTTGATACGGTCCAGTCACGTGGAAGCCAGGACGCATGCGTCAGTGTTGTAAGAAATACATTTTTAACAACAGTTGAAAGAAACTTGAAGTCCAAAATTTCATATACAGTTGCACCTCACGATAAAATACATTTTTATTTTTAAAAAAAATCTTAAGCTTACTTTTGAATCGCATTTGGTTTTAATACAGGTATGTTGAACCACGGTTGTCCACAGAGGGGCTCCAAACCATTGATTTTGATTCTCTCTGTGCATTTTAGGGAATATAATTACAGGCAAATGGCCCTTCGGTGAATTTCGATTCATCTGATCTGTAAACCAATCCAGGATGCAATGAAACATCACGAATTCCCATCTCTATTTTGGAAAATCAATCCTTCAGTTTTTTCACATCTGCATGATGAGAACTGCATCTTTGGGTGGTTGTTTGTTTGAGTCATTTTAGTCAATGTGTCACATTTCGGCTTTGAAAGGCGAAAAGGTCTAGCAATAGATACTGATGCCATTGAGAGCAGTGATACTAGCACCTGGAATTGAATCCGTTTTGCGACTTTTGCACAGTCTGGGTGCAGCATTTCAAGCCTTATTCGATGGTAGTTCCGTAAACTGTATGTTTTATAATGTTTAAAGTAAAAATAAACTACATCTTTGTCAATAAGTCTCCAGTCTTTACACTGGTGCACTGTGAGCATAATTTCCTCCTCAGTTGCCGCTAAAGTTGCAGTCCGTGACGCGCTCTTTACGTCCTCGTCCGAAGACCTACGCGTGACGTCATCGACAACGAGAGGTGTTCAGGATCCTCGGAGAGAAAGATCCCGCGCGCCCTGACAACCTGATAAACCCAGGTAAACGCCGTTGTTTCAGACATTATTCTGCCAGTCATGTTGTCTCAGTGAACTAATTGAGTAGACAGCAAGACACACGATAACAGCGGTGTAAGAATTAAGAGGTAGCACTGATGCCCGGCGCCCACTGAGACCGTTCTCTTGCACGGCGGCCTGTTCTGAGTAGCTAGCTTGCTAGCTAAAGCTAGTTGGCAGTTGTCTATCAAAAGACACAATAACCGCACCTACATTGTGTGTCTCTCTGACATCCCTTGCCTGTCTCACCCACTGTTGGCCCCAATTACGATATAAATAGTTCAACAGAGAATGGCACGACCACCGCGTTGGGCATCTAATGCTAGTTTGCTCGTCGACTGTCTTGTGTTGTGGGAGACGGTGACGCCGTCACGGTGATGATGGCGCACACTCAGACTGAAGCTATTTGTTGAGAATGCAGTCAGTTGAGCAGGTAACAGAAAATAGAGGTCTGCTGCTGATTTTTACAAGGCTCGGTGTCATCATCTTCAAAACAAAATGCGTTCATCTTGGTCTGCTTTCTGTTGTGCTGTGCATGGCACTGACGTCCATTACGAAACCCAAGCAATAATCTATGCCCTGTGGCCTAACGTTAGGATCTTGGCTCCTCGACGATGGTCGTTCGCAAGCGGTCATTACTCTGCAATTTATCGCTGTGTTCGCTTCATCTGGTAATTGTCCCTATCCTGGACAGATGCGTTGGGACGTGTTGTGCTTATGTCACCAATATGACCGGCTATTATAGACACAAAGCAGTGGCATTCATCCGACCTGTGTCTTCAACAGATTACTCACGCTGAGGCCCGTTACTTAGCGTGCTGTCTTGCTGTTTCCTTCGAGGAGATATCCCCGGCATTACAGACCTGTAACTTTGCTTTTTGATTTTAAAAATGTGCAATTGCTGTAGTATTTGGACACACAGTGTGGAACAACATACAAGTTTACCTTTTGAGAGACACTGGCTTACCTGTCAGTCACATTCCTATTTGGACAGGCTGCTTTGCCTAAAGGTGCACAAAGACAGAAGCACTTGAAAGCTCTTGACTTATTGTTATTGCTTACTCATACTTTATTTTTTATTTTTTGCAATATTTCTTCAGTTATATTTTGTCAGTCTGTTAGTCAGACCTATATGTATTGGGAATGAATCAAAGCCTGAGTGACTTTTATGATAAACAGATCACTGGTCAGATATAAAGCTTCTTTCAGACATCCTTTCTGTTAATCTGACTCCAACTTAACGTGTGCCCTTTTGAGCAAATGTCGCCTCAGCAATCTTACTAGGTTGGACTTATTAACATTTCCATATCACTTTAAACGTAGCACAAGTCTCAACTGCATGCTTGCACATAAACAGATAGGTAAAGTGGTACTTTGTGTTGTTTAAAGTGATTTGGGGAAAGCATTTTCCATGTTTCAGCACCAGCATTGGTCTAAAAACAACGCAAAAGACAGAGTTTGTGAGGGGAAAATCATTTCTCATTCACTTCGTTCTACAATTTCATGCCTGTTATGCTACAGACTGATATTTTGATCAAAATCAAATCTTACTGCGATGACAACGAAAACTGATGGCCCTGGTTAATGATATTCACCAATGATGAATGTAATCCTTTTTTCTTTGTTTTATTTTACAAAACAATAACAGGAGTTGCAGTTGTGTTTGTTGCCTTTAGCTTTCTGTTGTAGACGTCTCTCTGAGTGTATTAAGTACATGCTGCATCAGACAGTAGCCAGATCCACATGAGTGTCCCCAAAACTGAAGTTGCACACCTTTACGCATATGGAACAAGAGTGCCCGTAACTTAGTTTATTGTTTGTAATATAAAGTATCTTCGACATGGAGACTTGATCAATCATAATCTAACATCAAGTCTCACTGTATACTTTTCTTTACCTCAGACAGGCAAGCTGTCATACCCAGAGTCAGTTTATAAATGACAGTTATATCATTTGTGAAACCATTGTCGTCCTCAGCTTGAGTCCTGAGCTCCATCACAGCTGTTGCAATATTTTAATTTTACTGTTGGTAATATTGTAGTTAGATTGTCATCACACATGGACAGAATTTCCATTCTTTAGGAAATATTATATAAATTAGACATTTGTTTGGACAAGCTGGCTATCAGTTTATAGTCTTTTGTTTATTAGTGCATCACTATGTATTATGTATCGATAGGTGTTCTATCTATTCTCACATGGATGAGCCGTGGCTCTCTCCGTCACTGTGGTGGGTATGTCTGAATGACAGAATACAGTCACTTTAACACACTGATGAAATCAGTAATGTTACACATTCCATGTCTGAAAAGAGCTTAAGAGGTATTCTCACTATCTACACTTCAAGTGTAAATAAAATGAATGACCTGGGTCAAAGGGCATGGCATTACCAGACAATCGGTTAATCAGACAAGCTGTGAGGGTTGAGCTATTAATCACGTTACTCCAATTAATTTTCCTCGATGGCATTGATCGACTGCACCATAGGTTTAAATAAAGACTGGGTTAAAGTGCTTGAAGATTCTAGGTAGGCTGTATGTTAAAAATATTCCTGGAGTTGAATATACTTTTCTTGCACCTCTTGTGTTTTTCTTATTTTTTTTTAAATTCCTTTTTTGGTCCTGTTCTCTCTGGTTTAGTTGCCATGGTAACACCATCCTTGGCCTAGTTGTGAATGACCCCTGAATGGAAAGGAGAGTGTGGTCTGAGAACAAATGAGCGAGCGAACAAAATCTATTATACTGTGTGTGAGTGTATGTGCTTCATTTATCTCTTTTGAATCATAGACTAACTACAACCATGCTACTTTTTGGTGTCTCGTCAGTCACATTACAACTGTGTGTGTGTGTTTTTTTTTTTCTTTTTTAAGTAAGACTTTGACATGGTGAAATGTAGTCGATAATTACCTGAGTGTTCTGTATTCTTTTTCTATGGCCAGTCATTCCTATTTCTTGTTTAGCTAATAGTTATGTTTTTATTGTATTTGTAATGTCATCTATCATGGTCTGCTTGTAAGGCCCATTCTGACCAAGTCTTCAGCGTCATTAGAATCAGACAATATTCTTAATCGCTTACAGTCAGGCTTAGTCACTTTGTCACTTCAACAAATGTGATTTACTTGTGACTCACCCATGTAATTTTCAGATTGATTCACAAATCTAATCTATTACAGAGTAATTTTTAAAAATCTTTTGTTAATCTTCTACATACTTTTCCGAAATTCACCTAGTGTGGGCATTGATACAGTCTGTTTGTACACAAATGTCACATCTCATAAACCTGTGCACATTCTCATGTCTCAGTGTTGCTAATTTTGCAAATTGCCAATTCAGTCAAAACGTTACTCAGCCCGATTTCAAAGATATCCCTTTGTACCAAGAGCTGGTTGCATATTTCAGAAGCCATAGGCTGGCCTGTTTTATTAGGAAACAGTTGTTCTAACTTTCACAGTTCAAAGGCAGTCATTTCATCCTCTTCTCCTCATGCGTCTCAGCAGGTATTAATGACACGTGTGTTACTATTAATGATCAGAGTAGCTTGAAAAATATACAAACATATATTCTCAGTTGTTAGTTTTTTTGGGTCAGGAACTGATTTAATCTTGACTGCCGCTGTGATCAACAGTGTCAGACTTCTTGGGATACGACAACATGTGAAGCAGGGTTTAGACATCAGCCACTTAAATGTGCCGAGTAATATCTGTTGGTTTGACAAGACAGCAACAGAGACTGGCATTTCTCTGTGCTGTACTCAGGGTATATTCTCCAGTGAACTTGCCCATTAGATTAGGTGTAAGAGCATACATGAGAGGCCCAAGAACACAAATAAGCTGTGTGAATGTCTGCCCATTTGAAATGATTGACTGGGTAGTGAACACAACTTTGGCATAGCATCACCTTTAAAGTTGATAGAGTAAACTTGTAGTACACACTTGCGTATTTATATTTCTGACATTTATCAGTCTGTGTTTTTGCCCTCCTGGTGGATGTATGTCCAATATTCACTTTCTCTTATCTTTGTTTTTGGTCTCTGTCAATTTCAAAAAGAAATATTTGTTTTTATCCCCATTTTTTTTTTAAATTTAAAGACTATATGCTGCCTTATATATAATGATTTTCAGGCACTTTGAAAAATATTTCAGAAAACGTAC